TGGAGCAGGGGACAGGGAGAGGGGCTGCGGGGACAGGGCAGGAGCTGCAAGAGCTGCAGGTAACACACCCCATCAGAGCCCTGCAGGCTGTGCTCTGCTCCAGATGCACGCGCAGACTCCAGAGCTGCTTGTTCCTGTCTGGAAATGAATGTTCTCAGGCACATTGTGCCCATTTCTTCAGTGCACCACGGCTCGGATGAGGCGCTGGCTGAGGGCTGAGCTGTCAGTCGGGACTCGTGCTGCCTGCAAAGTGCACAGGAACTTTGTGTGAGGGATAATAAATCCCAGCTCATCCAGTGCCGTGCTGAATGCTGAAAATGAAGCATTTAAAGCGCATCATTGCAGTCAAACTGCTGGTGGAAATCTCTTCACATTGACACTGGAGTCGGTGGGTCTTTGATCTCCCCCAATTCAGATGTTGCTGCTAAAGAGACTTAAGCTTAAACTTCACTTTCTAAAAAAGACTTTTTTGACAGTTTATTTTCAGAAATAATCTCCTCCTAAGCTCGGGAAGCAGGAGGAATGGCCAGACCCATGATGAGATTTCCAAACTGAGCAGTGCAGGAAGGAGACGCTTCCAAGTGCTGCTGTTTCTTGGGTAAATGCTGTGGATGCTCCGTGGAACCATTGTGGGGTAACTCATCATTTCAGCTCCAGAAATACCAACGTTGTGGTAGGGCTGGTGGTGGGAAGGGGCCAGGCTGGTGACGGGGCTGGTTGTGCTCAGGCTCATCCTGGGAACTGGCTTTGCTGGTCTGGCACTGGTCATGGAGGTGGCAGGTTTGGCAGCAGTGGTGCTCAGGCCTCCCAGTACTGTCCTGGGCACAGGCAGGTTCAGAGGCACGGGATGAGTGTGTTTGCCACTGGAAAATCCCAGCAGGATCTCCCTGCCATCAGCACAGCGCTGTTTTTCTGTCCCCATGTAAAAAGGGATCATAAAACTCCCTGGAAGAGCTCGTTCCTGAGGCCACTGATGAACCCGTCTCCTCCCCGAGCAGAGAGCAGTAAATCTCTCTATTAAGCTGCTGCTGATGTGTTAATGCTCCTTAGGTACCTCGTAAAGATGTTGGGGCCGGATGGCTCTGGAGTGGTTTGTAGAGGAGCAGTGTGGGTAGTGATGGATTCCTGGAGCCAGCACAGCTCCTGCTTCCCACGCACAATCCCCCTCGCCGGGGTTTGTAGCCTCCATGGATGGGAGCCTCAGGGTGGCAGGAGGGAGCCCCCATTCTCTGGCTAGCACCCACTGGTAGAGATGGGCTCAAAAGCAGCTTCATGTGCCTGGGGCTGGGTGGCTGTGGTGTGTCACTGCCCCGCAGTGCTGAAACCATTCTGGTTTCACTTGTGCTTTGGGCAATGCAGGACGTGGCTGCAGGAACCATCGCTGATAAGTCAGGGTTGCAGATCTGCTGCTGTGCCATGGCGCAGCCTCCTGCGAGCAGCAGCACAGCTTCAGCTCATTCAACACCAAAGGCAAAGGCAGGGACTGTGAGGAGCCAGGACTCCAGCGCAGTCCCTCATGAGGGCCTGTGTTACCCGCTGCAGCTCTGCGCTGGGAGCAGCACCCGCAGCACCGCAGCTCCTGGCACAGCCTCTGCCGGGAACGGGCCTCATTGCCCGGCTCCCCTGCACAAGTGATGTTAATAACAGCAACACACCACCCGGCAGCGCCCGGATGTGTCTGGACATGGTGTGACACATCCGCAGCTCCTCAAGAAGTTTAAGAACAGAAAAAAGCCATTTGCAGGTGTTAATATTGGGCAGCAAATAACTCCGGGTGGTGTGTGTTGGCTTGGCACATGGCATTCCCCATGTGCATAGGCGGGGATGGTGAATGGGGCAGCTGGTGACAGTCCCTCCATTCGACTGCTGTGCCCTGGAAGGCTGACCTAAAAACTCAAAAATCTTAAGACAGACAGAAGTGTTATTTTATAAGAACATATAAAGATCAAAACATGGCATATTTAAGCTGTTATTATGCAATAGAGAGCTCTTTTAAGTCGTGATTTGTAAAGACAGCTCAGATAATTTCCTGAAAGACATACTCATAATGATTAATTTAGAGTGTTTAATTCAAGTTAGAGAGATCAAAGAGAAAGCCTTTCCCCTGTAATGCTGTTTGTGGTTTTGCACTTTCACCACATTCTGTTGGACTTCGGGAGGGGGTGTGTGTGTCTGATTTGTCCTTTGCTGGGATTTCTCTCGGTTAAAACTGCAGAGGGAAGCAGTATGTGGGAAAGGGAGAAGAGCCATGAGCAAATCCCTCAGGCAAGGAGGGCACGATGTGGGCTCTTCTCTTGTGGCTGGAAGGGTTCTTGCTTCTGCAGCTTCCTCTGGGTTTTCTATGGCTGTTCCCTGTAACAAACCTTCCCAAGTGTGAAAGCCTGGGAGAAGAGCCATGAGCAAATCCCTCAGGCAAGGAGGGCACGATGTGGGCTCTTCTCTTGTGGCTGGAAGGGTTCTTGCTTCTGCAGCTTCCTCTGGGTTTTCTATGGCTGTTCCCTGTAACAAACCTTCCCAAGTGTGAAAGCCTGGGGAGCCAGAGCAGGCTGGAGCCGTGGGCAACATGCCTGTGCCTGCATCTGCCTGCACTGCCTGCAGCACGCAGGGTCCCCACTGCTGCAGCCAGATGTGCCGCCACTGCTGGAGCAGGGCACGTGCTGCAGCAGCTGCGCCGGCCCCCGCAGCCCTTCAGGGCTAATTGGGATAATGTAGGAGTGTGTCTTTATGCAACTACGAATCCCGTTTTGTGGTCGGTTGCTTTAACCTCTGCGCTGTGTCAAGTGTTCAGCCTCTGAAGCAATCTTCACTAGGGGAAGGAAGCAACAGTATTTATTACTACTTCTCTATAATGCAGGAAGACGTCCAGTCTTCCTCTATTGCACGTAAGATCTGATCTGGAAGGTTATTTTGTGCCTGACAGGCAAGCAAGGCTGGGGTTTTTGCTCTCCTGCTCACAAGATGCTGCTGCAGTTTCTCTCTCCTCAAGCTCTGTGTTGCTGCTTCAGTCCTCTTTGAAAAATGAGTATTATTTAATGAAAGAATGATAATTTGCTCTAACTCAGGAAGAGGTATTTGGATTCTGGCAGGTTTCATTATTCCTTCCCATTCCATGCCCTTGTACCTGAGCTGGGCACGCAGCCTGCGCCCAGCAGCGGCCGTGTTTGACAGCGATGGATGATCCATGCAGACACTCCATTAGCCTATTAATAAAGCACAATCTAGGCCACTGTTTTCCAAGTTCAGCACCTAAATTCATATTCAGGCTCATAAATGAGCGGCCTCATTTCCTGAGCAGCAGCCGGGGGTGCCGGTGACCGCCGTGTGCCTCGAGCCCGGCTAGCAGCATCCTGAAGGTGCTTTGTTCCTCATCCCCCAGCATCTTGCTCCTCTGCAGGGTGGTCTCTGTGGGACATCACCACCATTCCTGAGCATGGGGCAGCCTGGACGTGGCTGTACCCGTCCTGCATGGCCACAGTGCATCACAGCATCACGGGGCTGCTGCACCCTTTCACCAGCTACAGGGCTGCAAAATTGCAGCTGATCAGCATTAAGTGAGGCCAGCATGCAGGGCAGGCTGCGGCTGGTGCAGCTGGAATACGAGTTTCAATATCTTAATGTGGGAATGGGGATGGTTCATTTTTCCCAGTGCTGCGTGAATTGGGGCATCACAAGGTGAGGGGTGGGCTTTGCTCTCTGGCCGGGGGAGAAAAGCCAGGGCTGCAGAGAGCAGAGCAGGCTGAGGTGATGCCTGACACTTCAGCTCAGTGCTGCCCGCGCGATGTTCCTGGTGTCTGGCAGCACTTGCTGCCTGTAGGGAGCTCTGTTTATGGGCTCAGCATCTCCCCAAACCGGGGTGGGTTTGGCAGGATGCTGCCTGCACAGCTCCAGCCCATCTCCCAGCCACGCTGCGCTGCCTCGGTGCACGCTCTCATGGCACTGCTCCCAACCCAGTCCTGCTGCTTCACCCCCTCTATGCCCAGAGCAGCTGCCTCGAGTCTCCAGTTCCACAACCAGGAGAGTGGCTTAAAACCTTGTAATAAATCAGGGTGAGCTGAGCTGAGCTGAGCCAGGCCGGGGTTCACTGCGGAGCCCAGCCCGTGGCCAGCCCCAGCCACAGGCTCTGCCAGCAGGTTTTTGGCTGCTCCGCTGCATTTCAACAGCAGGGTCCAAAAGTCCAGTAATGTTCTACTTTGGGCTGAGCCTGGCAAGGTTCAGGGAGCCTTTCACTGCCAGGCTGCAAGGGCAGAGAATCACGGAATGGTTTGGGTTGAAGGGACCTTAAAGCTCCTCCAGCTCCAACCCCCGCCACGGGCAGGGACACCTTCCACTAGAGCAGGTTGCTCCAAGCCCCTGTGTCCAACCTGCCCTTGAACACTGCCAGGGATGGGGCAGCCACAGCTTCTCTGGGCACCCTGTGCCAGCGCCTCAGCACCCTCACAGGGAAGAGCTTCTGCCTCAGAGCTCATCTCAATCTCCCCTCTGGCTGGTTAAAGCCATTCCCTTTGTCCTGTCCCTGTTTGCTCTTATTATTGCTGAAAAGCTTAAACCAGGTGACGTACCCCCGAGGAAACCCCCTTGCCTGCGCCAGAGAGGGAGAAGAGGTAGATCCTGGTGACAGGAGCCCTGTTCTACCTTCCGCTCGATGGGGGACCTGCTTCACAGCTCTGCATCTCTGCAGATCAAAGGCTGCTCCTGACAGGTGACGGTGCCTCCTTCAGATAACACGAATTTCTGTTTCCTGACAAATACATTTAATATGTGCATTATCTGATCAAATAATCACTCCACAGACACCAACCATGCACTGAGGGAACTCCATGGGCCTGGAATTAACCCTTTCCCAGGGCTTGGTGCGATGTGTCAAATGTCCCTGCCTGTTAAATAGTGCTTCATGTAGTCACAAAGTGCAGGCTGCAGTTATAGAGCTGCTGAAATGAGTCTTCACCAGCCAGCTCCTCGGTTCCACCCTCCTCCTGCCCCTTCATAAATGAGTTTTTGTCCTGCAGAGAGATGCCAAGGGCCAGTACCTGTTCGACCTTCTCTGCCACCACCTGAACCTGCTGGAGAAGGACTACTTTGGCATCCGGTTTGTGGACCCTGACAAGCAAAGGGTGAGAGCTCGGGCTGGGCCATGGGAGTTCTTGCAACTGAGGCTTGTCCTTGCTGCTGCAGATGGAAACTGGAGCAGGAGGCAAACGGCTGCAATAAGACTTGGTTTAGGCTCCACTGATGTTTCCTCAGCATCAGGATGTGTGAGCCGGGAGAACTCACATGGCTCTTGGGTCGCTGTGCGAGGCGTGGAAGCATCTTATGTTTGCAAAGTGAGAGGATCTGATGCCACTGCAAAGGCGAAGGGGCAGGTCTCCTGACACAGGCTTTGCAGGACTATTTCTAGCACGGAGTCACGCTTTAACACCCAGGTTAGGCCAGGCAATGGCTTTGTGCCGAGGAGCCAAACACTGGGTAATGGGGAGGGAAACAAGACGTGTGAGTGCTTGGAGCCGAGTGCCCGCGGCAGGACCCTGCGGGATGCTCACACAGCTCTTGGCGCTGGTGCCTCAAAGGTCAATGTTATTAACTGAGAGTGTTTGTAACTGAATTTCTTTAATTACCTTCCTTTGCCTTTCAGCACTGGCTGGAATTTACCAAGTCGGTTGTGAAGCAGATGAGGGGTGAGTATTGTTGTGCAGACACCCCGGACACACAGGGGTCACTGCAGCCAGGAATGGCCCCATGCCCGTCCATCCCTCCTTACCCAGGGCAGCCCGGTGTGTTTGAGGGCAGCGGGGAGGGCATGGGAGACCCTGGCAGTATCCAAGCATCCCCTGGAGCGGGGTTATTGGGGAGGATGGGGAGGATGAGCCCTGCATCTGGTGATCGTGGTGCCACTGTTCTTGCTGCAGCCCAGCCTCCCTTCACCATGTGCTTCCGTGTCAAGTTCTACCCCACGGATCCCGCGGCTCTGAAGGAGGAGATCACCAGGTAAGGAGGGGGGCCTGGTGGTCCTGGCATGGTGGGACCAGCCAGCCCTGCACCGTTCGGCACTGGGGCAGTGAAGGTTTGGCCAAGGCAGGACCACGCTCTCAGCTTAGTTTTGTAGTCCAGGGAGAGCAGCAGCTATTTACATTCCCAAACAAACCTGAACGTTCCTGGGTTGTCCCAGCTTTGGTGGGAGTGTGGCACTCCCCACCCCTGTTCCGTTCAGGGAAGCCAGGAAGGTGGGTTCAAGCAGGAGCAACAATTCTCCTGTGAGAGTCCATTTTCTGCTTCTGCTAATGCTCTTGGCACTTGTGAATCGCATGGAAAAGTCAAGGGGTGATGGGCCAAGTTATTCCTGGGGAGATTCTGACTGGACACCAGAGGAAAATGTTCCCCAGTAAGAACAACCATCCACTGGAAGAATCTCCCCAGGGAAGTGGTGACTCCCCAGCACTGGACACTGTTAAGGTTCAGCTGGACAAGGTGCTGGGTCGTGCTGTACATAGAAAGGTTGGACCAGATGGTCCTCGAGGTCCTTTCCCACCTGGGATTCTATGAATCAGCTGTTAGTGCCACTGCCTGAGCACATCACGGCGTCACCATGTGTGAGAGGTCTGTCAGGAAGGGTCTGAGTGTCTCCAGTTCCCTTGACATCCCCTGGAAGTAATGATCCACATCCCTTTCCAGAAGGGGCATGGATGCTGCGGGAGGAGCAGGTGACAAACTGCGATGCAGAAAGGTGGCAGCACTCGTCTCAGGTTCCTGTCTTTAGGGGTTCTTCATGCTGCTCTTCCTGCCAGAAGGAAGGATGTGAAGAGCTCTCGCAGAGAAATCACAGCAGTTCTTGTGTTTCACACAAGGACCCAAACCCCAAAACTGAAGAGCCCCTTAAGATGCTGTTTGGAAGCCTGAGAAAGTTCCTGTTTGGGTCTGACCTCAGAGGGGAGATGCAGATCAGGAGGAAAGCATTTGTAAAGAGCCCTGTGCCCATTTGCTGGCCTCTTTAAAAGTGGCCTCACGTCCCGAGTGCCAGTCTCTCTGCTGCTGCCAGCACTTGTGCTGCAACCAGCTTACTTGGGTAGGATTGATCTCTTTGTTCATACAGGCACGTTCTGGGGGACCCACAGAAGTGTCCGGGAATAGTTTCACACAGAAGCATCTCCTGGTTCTGCTTAAGAGGCATTTACTTAGTTTGCAGATTTTACATTTGCTCCCAGCAAATACAACCCTGAGCAGCCTTAATTTAAATGTGAAATGGCCAAAGCCGTGCCTGCGAGTAACCCCGGCTGCTCCGTGGGCATTAAGCTGTGCACGCGGTATGTTAATTGTGTTTCTTTAATCAGAGCTTAGCAAACATCTGCACTTGTCAAGCACAGCCCAGAGAATTGAAATGCAGGTCAGGGCTTTACACGGTTGCAGGGTGGGAGCTGGAGCTGGACCCCAAGAGCATTGGGGTGGTGCTGGGGGCTGCTCAGCCCCTGGTCAGCTGGTGCAAGGCTCAGGGTGAGTCCTCCCCTCCTGTGTGCCTGGAAATCCTTCATCCTCTGCCTGGGGATGGAGCCAGCTCTGGAGCTCACTGACTGGAGCTCATAAATCACAGAGTCATGGAATGGTTTGTGTTGGAAAGGACTTTAAAGCTCCTCCAGTTCCAACCCCATGTTCTTCGCAGGGAAGAAATAACTCCCATCTTTAATGTTCTCATCCAAGGCAGCCTCATCCCACAGCCCAGCGCTGCTCTGGGAAGCTCGCCTTTCCAGGGAGTATTTCCAAGGCATAGACAAGGCTTTGGGAAACCTGTTTGGCACCTGCAGAATAGTTTTGTTTGTAAAACCAGCTCAGATGTCCAGACATTCCCTGTTTGAAGGAACGGGATTGCAGGGGCCATTAATGGGAGAATTAAACCCATTTGATTTGTATGGTTTCTGTGAGGTCTGTGACGGGGTCTGGGTCTGATGGTCCCAATGGGCCCCCCATGTGGGTGGGCTGCCCCTGCTTGCTGCAGGTCGAGGTGTGCCTGGCTTACACCTGGGCTTAAAATTCACTTTCCAGTGCACTGAGTCCACTTTAATATCTGAGTTTCTCTTTAATATATTTTATCTGTGAAAATTAGGAGTTTATCTTGTCATAAATAGGGATTTGGGAAATGAAGCATGACTGAGGCACTGCAGAGTGCAAGGCTGGTTATCTGCACACACTTCTGAGCTCCTTCACTCTCTGACTTAGGTTTTGCCATCAAAAGGTCCTTCCACAACGCGCTGCCACACGACTCAGCCCAGACTGTTACTGAGGTTTAAATTTATTCAAATGTGTAATTTTCCAACTCAGTTTATCTTTCACTGGGCTTTGGTGCACAGAGATAAGAGGCAGCTCACTGGAGATGATGGAGTGTTGCTCATCGGTGAGCACGGAGAGGGAAGAGGGTGTGTGTGCACAGGCCTGGAAGGACACAAACTTGGAAAGGACAAAATCACCTTATGGGAAGCTGAGCAGCAGCAAGGGCAGGGATGCAGGGCTGGGAAGTACAGCGGTGGCGGGTGGGCTCAGGACCACCAGAGCCCTCCAGAGCATCATCCCCGGGCACCCCAGCCCCTGGTGACAGCTCTTGGTGCCAGCAGCTCTGCCATGGCCGTGCTCGTGCAGATCTCCACCAACCCTCGGGCCGGGTGCCAGTCCCAGAGCAGGCACCATGTCCCTGTGGGCAGGAGCAGGGTTGGGATGTGCAGATGTAGCCCCAGCACCAGCCCTGACCCAGGAGCTGCCTGGTAATTAGCACTTGTTCACCCCTAGCAAGTGTAATGTCTTATAAATGGACTGCTTGGAGAGAACGTTAGTGCAGTGGCAGCTATTCCACATTAGTTAGTGTCTTGAGGCAGATATTCCACATTAAATTGCCTGTTTAGGTAGTTTAAACTTTGTTTAATAAATGGACTATCTCTCTGTCCTCAGGTACTTAGTCTTCCTGCAGATCAAAAGGGATCTCTACCACGGCCGTCTCCTCTGCAAGACTTCGGATGCTGCTTTGTTGGCCGCCTATATCCTTCAAGGTAATGCTTTATGACAAGATAAATTTGCTTTTCATGCTGAGCACTGATTACATTATTTCACTTACAACAGATCATTGCACCTAGAATACAAATGTCATCCCGCCAGCACAGGGCTCATGCTTCAAGGCCGTGCTTGTGTCGCGCAGGGCTGGCTGGAGGGGGTCTCCCCCACAGCCCGGCACTGCTGGATGCTCCCAGAGCCATCCTGACAGCACGGAGGTGGCCAGTGCAACACCCAGTGCACAGCGAGGGGCTGTCAGGCTGTTCGGGAGAGCTGGGAGGTGCTGGTGTGGTGGAGAAGCACCTTGATGTGCCATTAGCACTGTGATACAGTGCAGGCTTCCCCACCCAAGGGTGCTTGGCTTGATGCTGGTGCCCCTCTCTGCAGTCCCCTGGTCCCTGTGGTCATGTCCCCAGGATGAGTTGGGTAGATGCACCCTGGCACTCAAACCCCACAGATCTCAGCTCCAGAGCATTTTGGAGTTATCCCACAGGGCTGGTGTTCTTCCCCCTTTTAGTGCTTTGAGCTGGACACATTAAAATTAATGTCTCCACTTCACTTAGGACCTGAGACAGGAGGGAATTAAATGAGAGCAAGGTCCTTTCATTTCATGGATTGCTGAAAGTCCCGGCAGGAGACACAAACTACACAGAGCAACACCAGCAGTGACTGCGGCACAGGATGCTGGCACAGGGAGCGGGGTGCGTCAGCCCCTGCTGAGGAGGGAGCGGGGCTGAGCTGCTTGTCTCGGGCATTTCATAGAATCAGGGAATGGTTTGAGTTGTTCCCTCATGGGGAAGAACTGCCTCAGATCTCGTCTCAGTGTCCCCTCTGGCAGGTTCAAGCCATTCCCCTTGTCCTGTCCCTACATCCCTTGTCCAAAGCCCCTCTCCAGGTCTCCTGGAGCCCCTTTAGGCACTGGAGCTGCTCTAAGGTGTCCCCTTGAGGAGCCTTCTCTTCTCCAGCTGCCCCAGCCCAGCTCTCTCAGCCTGGCTCCAGAGCAGAGCTGCTCCAGCCCTCGCAGCAGCTCCGGGGCCTCCTCTGGCCTCGCTCCAGCAGCTCCACGTCCCTCTTGTGCTGTTCCCCAGAGCTGGGTCAGGGCTGCAGGGGGGGGTCCCCAGAGCACAGCAGAGGGGGGGAATCAAATGATCCCTCCTCTGATGGGAAGCGTGGCCAGGTTGGATGGGGGTGCTTGCTGTGCTCTGGGCTGTGCTGCTGTTCCTGACCAGCTCTGTCTCCTACCAGCCGAGATTGGGGACTATGACCCAGGAAAGCACCCAGAAGGCTACAGCTCCAAGTTCCAGTTCTTCCCCAAACACTCGGAGAAGCTGGAGAGGAAAATTGCAGAGATCCACAAGTCCGAGCTGAGGTACGGCTGGGGGCTGCTGCAGGATTATGGGTGCTTGGCTGAGTTGTATCCCAGTGGTGCCATGCGATGAGCACTCACTGCTCCCGTGTGTCAGGTCCAGCTGAGAGCCTGCAGTGCTCCTGGCAGCGCTGGTAAAGGCAAACCTGGAGAGCAGAGCGGCGTGGGGGAAGCAGGTCGAGGTGGGATTAACCTCCCAGAAACCCAGCCAACCCATGCCCTTAGTGCTGCTGCTGCCCAGCAAACTCCCCTTTCCTCCCATGAAGAAATGTCTGTACAGGACATTCAACCCTCCCTTTGCAGATGCCCTCAGCCTGGGTCCGTCCCAGCGCTGGGCTCAGCGTGTATCCTGCAGGATGAAACTGCAGGAGGCTGGGTTCCAGTGCTGGGCTCCTCCTGCTGATTGTGCTGAGGAATGTGGTGGGAACATGCCATGACTGATGCCTCTTGTCATTAACAGCAACCCCGTAGCTGAGGGCTGACTGTCATATCCATGTCTCCAATGGAGTGTTCTTCTTTTCCCTGTTTTTCCCTCCTGTAGCGGGCAGACACCAGCTATTTCAGAGCTGAATTTTCTCAGGAAAGCCCAGACTCTGGAGACCTACGGGGTTGATCCCCACCCTTGCAAGGTAAAACACTTTTCCTAATACTGTTGCTCAGGCTGGATTTCTCACTCCAGTAACAATCTGGTCCCAGTGCAGCGCTTGGCCTGTTTTAAACCGTCTCCAGCCTTAAAAACCAGCCCCAAACAGGCATCTGTGCAGGGAGGTGCAGAGATGTGAGTGCTCCAGAATCCTTCCAGAGGGTTTTTAGGGAAGCTGTAAGGAAGTGTTTTTATATGCAGACAGCTATGAAAGACAGCGGCTGATCATCATCTGCTGAAGCCTGTCATTTGGAGGCAGTAGCGAGGTCAGTAATGTGTCTGAGAAACCAGCAAGCGTTAATCTGCCAGAGACAGTCTATCACCCTGCTCCTCCCCGGCCAGTAATCCAGTTTGCTGTCTGAAATGCTTTTTATTGACTGCAGATGTCACTGCATGTGGATCTCTCTGGTCTCTTATAATCCCATCGCATGCAGGTGGATGTAGGATGCAGAGCAGGCAGAGAATGTTACTCTAAAGGCTCTGCTCTGTGGTCCCTTGTGGCTTTGAACTGAATTAGGCCTCATAAATACACAATTGTGGCAAATATACCTGGCCTGGGGAGCAGTGTCCCGTTTACCAGCAGCCTGTGATTGCCAGAGAGGATTTTCCAGGCTGGAGGAGCTGGGTCATGGTGCTGGTGCAGCTCTCCTGCGCTGACGGCTGTGTTGGGCCATGGTGCTCTGGGAGCGATGCAGTGTGGGCTTTGCTCCTGTTTCCCTGTGCCCCATTTAACATCCCAGCCCTTATCAAGCCCCCGTGTCCCCATATTGTCCCCCAGCAAAGGTGGTTTCTGCAAAGCTGAACAGAAAACCTCCTGCAGGACAGGGCTGCTGCATCTCAGACACGATGGGTTTGGGGGTTTACATCTTGCCTTGTGCAGGGTGGTGGCTGGAGGTTCAGGGCGCTCTGCTTTTGGCCATTCACCCTTGGCAGATCAAGATGGATTTCTGATCTAACCTGAATTTAAAACCAGATTGTTCTCTGCTCAGATTCAGAAGATCTTAGAACACCACTGGCTTCCTGCACTGCGCCAGCAGAGTACCTGCTCCCGGCATCCTGGGGTGGGAAGCAAATGGCAGAGATGTCTCACCTCTGGATTAATCCAGGGAAGGCAGAAGTGAGAGCAGAGCGGGAGGCTTGTACCCTCAGCTGGGGAGATCCTGCCATGCTTTCCCCAGAGAAAACATCACAGACATGAACATTGCTCTTCTGCAGCCTCCCCTGTAAAACTCCTTTACCTGCTTTTCCTGCCCAACGCACCAGAAATCCCAAGCCTGGTGTGCACCTTCCCTTCTGCTCAGCACCCTTCAAACCCCACCCGAGTGTCTGCTGGCCAAAGAAGAGTCAGGGTGCATCCAACAATCACTGATCATCCACAGCAGGTTCATAACACTGTTAGAATCCTGAGGGTCTGTGTGTACCACGCTCCAGGCAGTCGGTGAGCACTTCCCTGCAGTATGGATGTTGTGATCAACTCAAACTGCTGCCTTGTTCCGTACATGACACTGATTACTGGGTTTCAGCAGTCTCGGCGCCACCCAGCAGCAATGGCCCTGCAGGGCTCTGGGGCAGTCACAGCTAGCGGGGTTTGACTGTTTCCTGCTGTGATGAGTGGTGAGGGGGCTGTGGGGGCAGCCGAGCCCCGTCCAGCCCTGCCTGGACCCATTCTGATGAGAAATGGCTGTTGTCTTCCAGGACGTGTCGGGGAACGCAGCGTTTCTGGCCTTCACTCCCTTTGGCTTTGTTGTTCTGCAGGGAAACAAGAGAGTTCACTTCATCAAATGGTGAGTTCCCACCCGGCGTCACCCACAGTGCTCGCTCCTGCTCGCTCCGGTGTGAGACGTGTGTGGTGCTGCGGGGCAGGGCCATGAGAGCCCCCCAGCACCCCGGGGTGTTCGAGGGGTGCTCGGGTGAGCTCCCACAGACGGGACACATAGATCATCCCAGCTACAGCTGCCTTCCCCAGGTGTAGGGTGCTGGGCCCATAATGGACAGTGGTGAGTGCACCCGGTGCCCATGTCTGAGCTGGGACTGGGTACACCAGAGGACATGGAGGAGATTGATGCTGCAGCAGCTGAAAACCCCGTCCCGTGCCCTGCACACACGTGCAGCAGCACACCCGGGAGCTTGCACACCCGCTGCTCACAAGCAGGGGAGAAAACAAGTGATGCCACAGCCTGGTCCCGGTCAGGGCGCAGCGCGGCTCTCCTGTGCGAGCAGTGCGCTCTCTCCATTTGCTTTGTTGGCCCAGACTTCCTATTTTCTGCATTAAACTGCATGGTCTGCATTTGGCGGAGTCCCCTAAGTCCCCCCCAGCCCCTCTGAACCAGGTTCTGTTGTTCCTCAGTCTTTGCTGCATCTCAGATGTTGGCTGGGGTGTCCCTCGCAGCCGGCATTGCCACCAAGCCGGTCCCTGCTGACTCCAGGATGCCCCTTTTCCAGCAGCTGCTGGTTCCTGAGCCCGGGCTCCTCTCAGGGATGGGAAACAGGCTCCTGAAGCTGCTCTGCTGCCACCCCCAAAGCACCAGACCTGCAGCCCCTGTGCCGTGCCCGGGCTGTGGTGGGCTCCGTGCAGCCCCTCACCTGCCTGTCCTTGTCCTTTCAGGAATGAGGTGACCAAAATGAAATTCGAAGGGAAGACTTTCTATTTATACGTAAGTCAGAAAGAGGTGAGTGCTTCTGCTTCCCGTGGGAATCCCGAGCGCAGCCGGGTCTTACCTCAGCGGGTTCTCCATGGAGCGGGCAGGCTTCAGCCCTGCACTTGGCGGTGTGGGGATGGGACAGGGGCTGCGGGTTGGTGGCAGTGTTGGGGTTACCTTTGTGCTTTGGGTGCCTTGCTCTGGACATCAGAGCCTGCAGACCCTGGGTTCTGTGCCAGCACACGGGCTGCGTTCAGGGTTGTTGGAGTCATTCGTTACCACTACCCCTGGTTAACGGAGCCAGCCCGAGCAGCTCGGGCTGCACTTGGCTCCACACGAGCCTGGGGCTTGTAAAACTGTTTCTGGATATCCAAAACGGGGGTGACCCATAGAGGTGGGTGGCAGGTCACCAGTGCGTGCATCTGCCCACCCCTCGTGAGGTGCTGCTCTGGGTGCCGGGTGATGCTCCAACATCTGCCCATGTCCTGAGCGGCTCTGGAGGAGGATTTGCCCATGTCCATGCTGCTCTCCAGCTCCACTGCTCCAGCTCCATCCACACTCCAGCGTCCTGCCCCATGGGCACTGCTCGCTTGTTCCCCACTGACTCCCTGTCTTTCTCCTTTAGGAAAAGAAAATCGTTCTCACATATTTTGCCCCAACACCAGAAGCCTGCAAACACCTCTGGAAGTGTGGGATAGAAAACCAGGCTTTCTACAAGTAAGTGCCAGGCCATACGGGGGGGTGTGGTGGGTGTTCTGTCCTGACCACAGCACCCACCCGGGGCTGCAGCCAGCTCCTGGGGCTAAGGCACAGGCTGAGTCACCAGCCACCAAAAGCACTGGGAGTATTTTCTGGCCTAATCATCGAATCCCAGCCCGGTTTGTGCTGGAAGGGACCTTAAAGCTCCTCCAGCTCCAACCCCTGCCACGGGCAGGGCCACCTTCCACTAGAGCAGGTTGCTCCCAGCCCCTGTGTCCAACCTGGCCTTGAACACTGCCAGGGATGGGGGATGGATTTTCAAACTGCCTTCACAGGGGCTGTTTGTCCTGAATCCTGCACAGAAATCCCCAAGGAAGTGGAGCCGAGCCCTGGGGTGCTTTAGAGCTGCCTTGTAATGGGGAAGGCTGAAAACTGGCAGAAATAATCTGCTCTGAGCTCTTTGGGAACAAGTTAATGGGAGTATCCAAGGGACCCGGGAGCTGACGTGCATCCTGGGCTGCTGGGGACGGTGGCTCCAGGGACCATCCCCACCACTGCTGGCTTTGGGGGGTTCTCTGGGCTGCAGCTCCTGCCTTGGGAGCATGGGAATGGCGGTGTCCTTCCTGGAGCTCTGCGCTCCCCAGTTTGTGGCCACCAAAGCAGCTTTCCTGCCCCCAGTGTGGTTAATGGGGCTGCACAACCTGCCCCAAGCCAGGGAGGTGCCAGGTGGGAAGTTTGGCTTTCCCACCCTGTTCATGTTGTGGCTAAGCCCAGCGTGCTCTGTGCTTTGTAATGAGTTTTCCTTTAATGAGCAAGGCGCAGATAAAGCGTGTGATGTTTTCTCCCTGGGAATACTGCAATCAGCAGCCACAATCAGCAGGTTCCATTTCTCATTATATTAACATGAAATGAAATTGCAATATTGCTTTACAAATCTCCTCGTGATTAATCATGTCAGTGAATTACCACTGGGTTATGCACCCGGTGGGGTGGGCCGGGACAAGGGGCTGGCTCCCATGGGGTGAGGAAGGGATGGCTCTGTCCCTCCCAGAGGATTTACCCGCTGCTGGTTGGAGAAGGGCTCGTGTCCCACAGTCCAGGGACACCACGCCGGTG